CACCTGATTCGTCAATTATAGCCCTACTTCTTTCTACTAAGCTCCTGTTTTTCCTTTCAGCTTTTCCATTTTGCTGTGGAGTATATATAACTGTGTAATCTAAGACTATACCTTTCTCTTTACAAAAACTTTTGAAATCCTTTGAAATATATTCACCCCCATTATCACATCTCAATTTAGCAATTTTAGAATTAAACTTTACCTCACACATACTCACAAACTCTCTAAATTTATCAAGAACTTCATTTTTTCCCTTCAATAAATATACTGCACAAAAATTAGAATAATCGTCAATAAATGTTACAAAATATTTTTGACCTTCACTAGTTTCAGGAGTTATAGGACCACATACATCTGAGTGTATTATCTCTAATAATCTTTTACTTTTTGTCCTATTTCCAAATGGAAGTCTTGTCATTTTTCCACTTATACAAGGTTCACAAAACTCTACTTCCTGAAATTGTATATCTTTTTCTATTCCTTTTACCATATTTTTGTTTATAATTTCTTTTAACCCTGAAAAACCAATATGTGCGAATCTTTTATGCCAATTCATGAATTTACTCTCAGTACTTTCAACATTCAGACATTCAATAATAGGTAATTCAAATGAGATTTCATATAAATTAACTCTTTCTCCTATTGCAATCAGACAACCAGTTTCATCTTTTAACTTTACTTGTGCATTCTCAAAATTAACTTGCATATTTGAAATTTCTAACCTTTTGACACTTAATAGATTTTTTCTTAATTTTGGTACATATAAAACATTTTTGATTGTGCAATTATATCTCCGCTTACCTACATAACTTATAACATTTATATTACCAATACCTATGGCCAATAGAAAATCTTCATTTTTAGCAACAGCAATTTTTATAGGTTTTGTTAACATTATTATATCAGTGAAATAAGATTTTTCATTAACCATATGATCGGTACAACCAGAATCAATATAAAATTTTAAATTACTTTCTTTTGTTACCTCACTGTCAGATTTAGATTCACCTAGAAAACAAACTTTTCTGTCCACTTCCGGTACACTGTCCACATCTTCATGGTTTCGAGCATAATTGGAATGATGAAGTGCACCTCTATGAAAACCACCTCTATCATGGCCTCGATAACTTGTATACTGTCTCTGGTTACCTCTGGAGTAAAACCTTTGATCTACATTAGACCTTGGACCTCTTTGAAATGGAGTTGAACTTATTTGTTTTGTGCAATTTTTCTTAAAATGGCCAATTTCACCACACCTAAAACACTTTAACTTTTGTCTGTTGTGAGCTTGGGATTGAAATGCATAACTTTCTTCTTGTCGTTCATTAACTTCATGTTTTAGCTTCTTCTTCTCATATTCTGCAATAAGTCTTCTCTTTACGCTTTCAAAATTCATATTTGGTGTACCTTCTATTACTGTAACAATGGTATCATACGACTTCGGTAAACTGATTAATAAATTACAGATTAAATCTTCATCACTTATCTGCGTTCCACATCCTTTTAGTTGTCTTACAATTTCTTCAAATTCCATTAAATACGCCTCTAATGACTTGTTCTCTTCTAATTTAAGCGATAGTAACTTTTTCTTTAAATACAACTGACCTGGTAGACCTTTTTTTCTCATATTTTTTCTTTTAATGTTTCCCACATTTTATAAGCTGTCTCCTTATCTCTTAAAGTTTCGAGTTGACTATCTTCTACACACTGGACAATTAACGATTTTGCTTTTGCATCTTTCTTCACCAAAGCTTCCTTTTCTTTTTCACTCATTGCACCATTTATCCTTATTTCTTCATTGATTGCATCAGTTACATTATTTTCAGCAAGAATCATTTCCATTCTAAACTTCCAGTTAAAATAATTTAACCCATTCAGAGCTTCAATTGAATATAATTTTCCCATTTGCGCCATTTTCGTACAAAACTTTTCCCGGTATATTTCCTAACCTTACTTTTGAAAAACTCGCAAATTCCTGGGATTCTATTTGTTTTCACCAATTCCTTTTTATTGCTCTGGATGCTCTGTGTCCTCTGGGTGCTCTGGGCGCTCTGGGCCCATAACCTTTTAAGAAATACGCAGTGGTTTAACAACTATTAACTATTTATTTATGCATTACTTGAAGCGTACATGCAGTCACAAAATCTATCTGTCAACTGTCTATAGTAATGTGGTAATAGGAATGGTATAGAATATCGATACAAATAAATAATAAGGATTTTAGTGTATTCTTCTCAACATCAATCAATCCTAATTTATATCGTATACTAACATACCAAATCTCGTGTTTTCATCTGAAAAGATAAAAAAAGGTAAAGGGGTGACCAACATTTGAGACGCACCCGGTATAGGAAACATAACTTCCTCAGTAAAAAATCTTTTATCAGTAATTACTAATTCTACTGGCATAAATTCCAGTACAATACTTTGTAATGGAATCACTAGTGGGTTAGAGATTATTTCATCATTTTTTATATTTTTTAATAGAGGTACTTATGTATTTCCTCACATTCTTTTCACAATTTAAATACTCTAGGTTTAAACACAGTAGGTATGCTTAATTAATTGCATTTAATTCATTTTTTAATAATACACAATTAAACAAAATTTGTATTGTTATAAGCTTCTTTTAAACAAAACAAAAAATTGTCTCAACCTGTTTCATTTATCTCATGTGCAATACTCAACAATAAAATTTGATTGTATTCAAATGAACTTAATTTGACCAGTGCATTATTATTTAAGCAAAGTACATAAGAATTTTAAAATAGATATTAAATAATAAAATTTACGTTTTTGTTTTATAGTAGCCGGCATTCTATTTATGCATAATAAACAAAAGATATCCTTGAAGTGTGAATCCATATGGAATTCTAATAATATTATGTATTTTATTATTTATTGCTCGTTGGCATAGGTGTGTTTAAAAAATAATATTTTTTTGTTCTATATGTAAAGCAGGAAACATTAATTTTGATATTTCTATGCTTATATTATTTTTTTTTCAAAATTAACTATATTTATAATGTTCTTATCTCACATTACAACAATAATTCCAAAATTATTTCAGAAATTATTATAGATTTTAAAGCAAATTTTAATGTAGAAAACATATTTTTTTATTTCATAAAATATCTATATTACCTATAATATTGTAATTAATTTTTTTATGAAAATAGTATTTTTTTGTGTCTAAAATTAAATAAAAAAAATAAAAAAGTATTGCGATGGCCGGGAATCGAACCCGGATCAACTGCTTGGAAGGCAACTATGCTGACCATTACACCACCATCGCACATTGAGCGAGATCTGCTTTTAGCGTGTGCCAAGGACACTGAGAACCTACTTAATTTAATTTATTTTTTTTTTATTTTATATCTTTACAATATATCGATTTAAATTCTTGCATTAATAATAATTTTATATTTATTATACATAAACTAAAATAAGAAGTTACTAATGTAGAATTCTGTAAAAAACTGGCATTATTTTTAATGTCGAGATTTAAAAATACATCGTGTAAAATTTCAGATACAAAGAACAATAATTGTGTGAAATTTTACGCAACATTGTGTAAAATTTCAAGATAAGAAATAATGCCAGTCCCGCCAGTCCGAGAAACAGTTTTAATTCATAGTTTGCCATTTTCTATTATTTTCAAATAAACTCCTGTACAGGGTGGCGCCTCTCATACGACGCGGAGGCTCCAAGAAGAAGGATAGTTTGTATTGAAATGAAATTTTGTTAGCATATAGGTATGTAGGTTAATTTGGAGCATTTTTTAAAAATTTAGACACTTCTACAAGGTGTCTCCAAAAAAAGTTACATATCAAATATGAGTTTTTTGTAATGGAACACCCTATATATTAATTGATTTTCGGATTCTGAAAGAAAAATAAAGGTGACATTCATTATGATTAAAATGTAACGTTTTTGGCATATTTAGCATTTTCTAAAAATTAAGAACAATTTTTAAATTTCAATAAAAGTTACCTAAATTTAAATTTACCCGGTAAAGCCTAATTTGTAGTTAAAACAACTATTGTACTTTAAATCAAATTAAAAATTGACCCAAAAAGTTATACAGGGTGAAACAAAATTAATATTGAACATTGGATTGGCCACATTTAAAAGAAAGTTACACTTTTATTTGAAATGGAACACCCAGTATATTATTCCGATACTCAATGGGAATTTTATGTCTTCAAAATACTGTTAGGGTTGCCTACCTGTAAAATAAAGATTTTCCTAGTTATTTTTATTTTTATGATTTAGTGTCTGTATACAGGAATTTATTTTAGGGGGAGGGGCCAAATAAAAAAATTGGCGCCGGGAGGCACGAATAGCCGCCCATACTAAAATATGTTAATAAAAAGTTGGTAGGCAGTTCTTTTAGTTTCAAAGTGAAGGAATTTTTCCAATTTTTTTTATCTGAAAAACTGCGACTTTGACTGATTACAAATTTTGTTGCAAATATTATTCCTAATCTTAAATTGAAAACCGCGTTTCGCTAGCTACTGTAATTTTGGAGTTACAATTTTTTTAAATTTTTAACCCCCTCCCATACCCCCTTACCAACCCCCCACCCCCACCAAAAATTGTGACCAGATTCTCGGGTGCCACAATATTTTTGTGCCAAATTTGGTTAAAATCGGTTTAACGGTTTTTGAGTTATCGTGTTACAGACGGACAGACAGACAGACAGACACCATGAAAATATTCTGTATTTAGGTCATGTATGACCCAAATAACTCATTTTGAGTGAAATTAAAAAAATACCTGTTGGTCTGGTCGGCTAAAAAGTAATGCAGAATACATTTCTACTTTTAGAGCGTCATTTTTAAACCAAAAGGCTAATATTTAACCCAATTTATTATTTTTAAACCAATTAAATTATTTAACCCAAAGTATTATCGTAAATACCCCCCCCCCCTCATATATGTACATGATTGTTCGTAACGTACCTCTATCTATATACTATATATGTTTTTTTTTTCTAGATTTAACTTACCGCTCAACGACGGACAAATTGTTCAGTTTCATGTCGACATCACTGCCTCCATTTGATCTAAGTCGCGCCCCTGGTGTGAGCCGATCTTGCCAAAAAGACAGCCAGAAATACGTGGAGGAGTTGAAAAAGTTTAAAATGTGGGCATTAAAAAGTAAGTGGACACTGAAGAATTAGATATTAAAATTAGTATTTAAATAAATTAGTACATTAAGTGCCCAACAAGTTCGGTGTTCAGTAGCATAAAAAAAAGTAAATACAGTGTAAGGTGTAACTTCCCATATCTCATATCTGTATCCCAGAACCAAACTATGTTAAGTCACAAAACATAGTTTTCAGAAAAAACGAATTTTAAGTTTGAAAACCCCAACCTAATTACTCGGTAATTTTTAAACCTATGATTGTAATAAATACATACATACAACCATTACTCGCTGACGAGTATTCGACACACATCAGAAGATGGTCACGCACGGCGTTTTCTTTCATGAGCTTTTCTGTGACTGAAAAGCCCGATAAGTGATGTTATCTGCCTACCGCACTCCGGACATTCAAAAATCTCATTGCTTTGTTGCCTCTTTACTTTTTGGTTGTCGCTGTTAACTGAGTTTACAATTTTTCTCCATTGGGTTCTATTGTGAGATGCTCCTTCCCACTCATTTGGCATGTTACTCCCCCTTAAGTTTTCGTAGAAAATGTCCTTGTACCTTTTCAATTGTCCACCCGGCCTCCTCTTACCGTCTACAAGCTCACCGTAAAGCAGAGATTTTGGTATGCGGTTTTCTTGCATTCTGCATACGTGACCAACCGATCTTAAGCGGGATTTTGTAACCATGACTTCAATACTCTCGCAGTTTGGTTTGGTTTGGTTTATATGAACAACTGATTTTGAACTTAAATGAAATGTAAAACAGGTTTTTAAATAAATTACCACTATAATTACAAATTACAAATACCAAACATGTTTTTGAGTAACTTAACATAATTTGTGTATTAAAAAGGAAACATTGACAGGACTTAACTTATAGAGAAGCCAGAAGCTTAACTTATATTAAGTCCCTATAAAATTATTATAGGTATTTGGTTTGGTTTGGTTTGGTTTGGTTTGGTTTGGTTTGGTTTGGTAAGTTTGGATGCATACTAAATTAATTAATAAATTAGTATAATATAAAAAATAAAATATGCTATTTAACCTTGAGTTTTGTTGAGTGCCCAAAGTTGCCCAATTTATTGGCTGATGTTTTTTGAAAGATTGGACATTACCCTTCATGTATTTGTTACCATCTTGCGCAACTTTGCGCAACTTTAAAAAAAATATTTTTAAATGTAAGTATGTCCCTGGTACTTTGAGTAATAGATACTATAGGTCTTTATGATTTATTTAGATTAAGTTCGTGTGATTTTAATAAAATCTGATACTCATGAATCGCCTGTAATCAAGCACATAGTTAGGAGGTCCAAGAGTCCTAGACCCTTCAGTCCCACCCCACCTCAAATCTACAAATTTTGTGGGTTTTAACTGAATTAATGCTTAGATCGAGGCTTAGATAATATACAATGTCCCCACTCCTTTTTTATCTTTTTAATGGAACAACATGGAGATTTGAAGTAAGGGTTTTAAAAATATTACGTTTTAGTCTAAATATGACAGTTTAAAATTTCAAGATGGCGGCTTAACTTATTAAAATATCCGCACGTAAATTCAAACTATGATATGTACTAAATAATGAACCGATTTTAAAAATTTAAGCATTTAAACAAATTATTTTTAAACACATTACATTACGCTAAATTTAAAACCTTTTAGTTGCTCCAATCCAAAAATAGAAGGAGAAAAAAAATTCCGGCACCCAAAACCACCCTTCCCCCGAAATGGTTATTAAAACTTTTGGAACCCCCTCATCATCCAAAATTAATTTTTAGATGCTTGCCTGTAATAGGTACTCGAAAAATCTAGTCCATACTTTCTTGATTACGTGCCGACTACTCATTTTGAGACATGTGAGACCACGATTGAAAATAATTATGTTTTTACTTCTTCAAAACCGAGTTCAAAACTAGAATCCAAAAACAATATTTATTTTTTTATCAAAGTTGTTGGTTACATACGGATAAAAAAATATATCAAACAGACCGATAAACAGACAGACAGACACACAGACATGCCACAAGACAACAATATTCGAAATGGCTTGCAAGGCAAAAGTGTAAAAGTTTTGTCATCCGGGTATTTTTTCTCACATTATATTGATGAGCTAATATGCTGGGTATATACGTACGTGAACTATAATATAATTAACTAAAATTTTGAAGATTGACTACCTAGAAATTCAATTAAGCAAAAACTGTTAAATTCTATATATTTTTGGTTGATTCATATATCTTTGAAGGTTTTGGCCAACGATTCTTCAATCGGCCCCACCGTGCGTCGTTTTAATCTTTTTTAGATTTTACAATTGATTAAAATTTCGCGATATGAGTGCGAGGACACTAACGAATTTTTAGTCAGTTGGTGTATCAATCATATCGTTTGTGGTATCGTACTCACTATGAGTTGATGCGTCGATGCGTCCATCCACGGGCATAGTGAGTATGACGCCGTTCGTTGATGTGATGCGTCACAAAAATAATGACCAAGCAGCACATTAAAACATACAGACACAAATGAAAACAAGAATATGCAGGGGAGGCGACAGCTTAAACCGTTTTATAATGTAATACCTATTATTATTATAATATATTTATATACTATTTTATGATGGACGTCTGAACGACATGTCAAAATCGGACTTATCTCATTAAGAGTCTAGTAGCGAATTTTTCAAGGTAAAGGATTTACGTCAAAGAATTCGTCTAATTAAAATTAATTTGTAGTACATTTTTGCAATGGTGTTCGGTCGTGTGATTCGCCTCATTATGAAACATACATATTTAATATGGCAAAGAACTATTCTAAAAATATTTAATACTATAGCAACTTGCGATAGCTCTTAATATAAATAAAAAAAAATAAAAGAAAAATTGAAAATGACAGTAAAATAGTAGTTTGCAAAGATAATAACCTTTTCGTTCAAGGAAATTTTTGTACCGCAGAAATTGCAGGAAGCTCAATCTGGCGAATATAGAGGCCCACAACAAAAACAAAAAAAAATTGTAACTCGTGACATTGGACCTGATGAATAAAAAGAAGCAATTGCTTTTTCTATAGAACTATCTTTGTTGGTTGTTTACAAATTGTATAAGTCTATTTCAAGAAATTTAAGTAAAAGCATTTGCTTAACTTTTATTCACAAGACCCATTTTGCCATAGCAACCGTAGAGCGAATATCAGCAATATTGTCTTGGTAAAAGGAAATATCTTTCATCTGCATAGATGTAGTTGTTTTATTAAGATCACTGCCTACAATTTGGCAAATAGTGATGCATACTATGCATACATATCTGCCCCTAAGTTCATTCGTAACAAATTCGTAAACAAGTACCGTGTATGTATCCGTATATAATACTATTTATCGGTTTTGTATTAGAGGTCGTTTGTGCATTGAATAAATTAATAGGCTCCTTATATTAATATTTATTGAACTATAATTGTTTTTTTAGTTTATCTACTCTATTTGGTCAATATTGAATCTCTAACTCAAAAGATTAAGGAAGGCATATATAAAAAAACTTAGGTGGAGCGCGATGGGGGATTAATATGGCTGACTTAAATTTTGTCATCTTAATTATATTTAAACCATGTAAAAATATAATGTAGAGTAGACTCAATAAGTTGTTGATTTTTATTTACGTTATTAATACTACATGTAATTTTTTATTAAGTTTTTTTTAAAACAATATATTTCTGATAAAAATGGATAAATTATAATAATTATTAATAACAAAAATACAAGTTAGTTGTCAGAGTTTGAGTCAAATTGACGTATCCTAACTGCAATTTCTTAAAAATAATTATTTTTGATAAGTAACAAATAAAGCGAAAATGCAAGAAAAAATTATATAATTAGTAATAAATTCTAAGTGAATTTCATAAATAATTGGTTTACTACTCGCAACGTAGATTATATAGCCATATGCCAGTGAAAATGTCATTTTTAATTTAAGTCCTGACACACTATCCTATAGCTCATACCAAATAAACTTTTAATCACGTAATTAAGCTTGACCGGCACAGCGATGCCCACTTTTACATATTTTCTTTTAATCAAAATATTTTAGGGAACAAAAATAAATTAATTATCATTAAAATTAATTACATCAACAAAACTCACCTTCTTAACAGCACTTAAGGGACATAAAAGGCCATTACTACCGCTTTCCCGTTCAACATATTCTAATAAGTTTTACGGCTATTAAGCTATCTTGCACCACTTCGCACTAATAGAGGTTTTAAAAAGAACAATAATCGACTGCGAGGTCTGCTAGTAAACATTTTTAAGCTTAAAGTATCACAACACTATTTATTTAAACAAAAAATTCACAGTCCTTTACAAAGATGCAACCGCGGGGGCATTGAAAATGATGAATAAAAACGTAAAAATATGATTAGTGTTAATATGAGTGTATTACATACATATGTTTAAATAACGAACTTAACAAAAACAACAGATTTAAAGGTTCACTGAAAAAGTAGTAATGTTAAAATTAAATAAAACATTATCAATAATAATTATGCGATCGCACCTATCCGTAAAACAAGCAAGCAAAAAAACCTCGAAAAAAACAAAATAACATACAAAACATCAGGTTAACATGATGATAGATCATGATCAATCACAGATAAAGAATTCTTACGGAAAGTTACACTTCACGATATAATTTTTTAACTGTTAAAGGCAAACCCCATTTAAACACAAAACTTTTTAATACCTACTACTGTATCTAAAAGACTTTTTATTAAATTACTAAATTCTTAGCCACGCTTCTGTTTTTCTTGGCTGTTGTGCGTCACGTCATAGATTAACAGGCCCACGTTTGCACCACAAGGCGATGCTGCAGACCACTAGGTAGACCGGTCGTAGAAATTTATGTTATACAACTTGTAGTCAATCTATATAAATATTATCAAAAACTTTTTTCTTTTAAAATGTGTTCAGATTTTGTAAAAAGTATAAGTCAAAATCGCAAAACTTAAATTTGATATGAGTTTCTTAG